TAATTTAATTAAGGATATAATTTTAGTACTAAAATTCCTATATTTCTTAATATAATAATATACTTACTAATTTTTAATAGGAAGCCAATTCTTCTAAATATATCGAAGAATTATTTTCTAGGTTTTAAATTATTTCTTCAACTTCTCCCAACTAACCTAATACTCTAGTTCGGTATTAGTATACATTATAAATTTGAATATATTGACAACGCTATAAGGGTTATTTATAATTTTAACTACCGCCTTCAAATTAAAGTTATATACTAATAAATAAATACCTTAATTAATTAAATTAAAAGATAATAAATTCTCCTAATTATTTTTACCCTCCTCATCCTTAAAATTATTGTGGTCGTTACCCTTTTACTTCTTCTACTTCTTTTTAACATTAAATAATACGTTCTTAATAATATAAAATAAATAAAACTATTATTAGGTATTAGGGAAAATATTAAAATTATTAAATAATTACCTTATTTCCTTACATTTATTTATAACGACGATGGTAGGCTTAAAAAGGCTATACTATAATCTTAACTCTTTAATAGCCTCTATCAAAAAATTAAATACCTCCTGCTTCTCGTTGTTAATAATACTAAAAATATAATTAAATACCGAACCAATAAAAGAAACGCTCGAAACCTAGTAAAAGGGATAATAAAACTAGTTAATATTATACGTATTATCGATAATGATAACTTCGGGAAATATTTTATCTAGTAATATATAAACTAGGAAGGTAAAAATAAAGCCCAACAACCATTCCTCATCATCTAGATCCATTTTTTTAATATATTTAATATTATTATCGTTAATTAACTTAATCAAAGTACCAATACAGGTATAACCATTGAAATTACAACGCCGTATACGTACGCGTACGTTATATATATCGGTTCTTATATATATAGATCTAGGAAAATCCTCTCGTACTATAGCAATAATCTCTCAAACTTATATAGTATTAAAATTAAAAATATCGTCGATTTTTTTTAAATATCTCTAGCTTCATTTTGCAATACTAGGAGTAGACAAATAAGTACCAGGACTAACTATAGTTGTGAACGTAGTAATCCGAATTAAAATGCAATTGAAAGTACTAAAGACTATCGTCTTTATCCTTCTTTAGAACCCCCTTCCATTAATAATTATACTTTTATAAAGCGATCTTTCGAATAGTTGCTTTAAATTTACGGAGTTTACTATAGTAGTTACGAATAATATAATACCGTATATACTCAAAAATAAAGATTCTAAACTTTATACCGTAACCCTAAGTACGAATAACTATAAACCCGTAATCTTTTACCCATTTATTAACGGATTGCTAAAAACCTTCAATTATAGCCGCGGAGGGTATAGTACTAAAGGGTAAATTAATAATTATATCTCTATAATTAAAAAGCTCGTCTTCCGGCTTACTATCGTTGCTAGAGTCGTTACCAGAATCGTTACTAAAGTCGTTGCTAAAATTGCTACCAAAATCGCTAGAATCGCTAGAATCGCTAAGAGAATTAATGAAAATATCGTCGTTAGAGAAGCCTTCCCACTCCTCGTCAACGTCAGCAAAAGGATCGCTATTGTTATCGCTATCTTCAATATAAGTAAAGTCGATGGACGTATTTAAATCCTACGGCGGCATCTTGGCTAGAATCTTATATGTAATACGCGTAGCGTTTTAAAGCTTTAATAAAATTAGTAAATAGTTCTAATAATTAATGCGATTAATATTTATATACATATAATCGATTCTAGCCCATTTTAGTATTTATAAGTAGTCTAGTTATTAAGAGGGAGTAAAAAGAAGGTTATAGAAGTTAAAAGGTTAAAAGGCATTTACTAAGTCTAAAAATCACTAAATTTAAAAATAGGGGTCGTATATATAGGGCCCACTAGCTAACTGGGCTTAGCACTATCTTACACCGAAATGCTATTGTACAATTACTATCTAATTATATTAAAGGTTAGTAAAAAATAATGTACACGTTAAACCCTAACCCGATTGGTGCTTCTATAAGGATTGGTGCCCCCGTAAGACGACCCTGGTGCCCCCAGATAAAATGCCCCAAAAATATAAATATGTGCTTAAGCCTGGAAAAAAAAAGGGACTTTAGCCGAGAGGCTAGTGAGGCCTAGATTACCCTATACCTTTCTATAGCGTTTCGTAGCCTACAAGTACCCAACTCCTAATGAGCTATCCGAGATGTACCCGACGACGCCTTCCAACTTTATCGATGTTAATGCCCATAGAATCCTAGTGTACACCAGACTCAAAAGATGAAATGGTGTTGAATGGATGAACAATAGGTAGAAATAAAATACATAATGCTAACTCCTTGGAATTATCGAACTGAACCCTCGACCATAAATCCACGATGTTACCTCCTCCCCTTTCCTATCTCTAACCCCCTAGGTGGTGGTAAAAATTCCTCGTGCAGACTGTCCGGTTACGGTACGGTTAACAATCCATATATAAGGTACCCAGCCAAACAAAGCTGAAAACAGAGCAATAACAAGGCTGTGAACAACAAAACTTCTCTGTCAGAGACCTTCATCCAAGGAGATAACGCTAACAGCCTCTAATTCGTCAAAATTAGCTTGAAAGGTTGTTGTACCAGAGTACTCCATTTGGCAAACCTTCAGCTGGCTGCCACTCCGGAAACTGATGGTCTGTAAGGATCTTGAGGAGTTTTTGACGCTTGCCTTCCCAAGTGTAATCCGCATTCATGTCCACGTCTTGGCGCCAACTGGCTCTTATAAGCAACGCCATAACGCAGCAATTCGTCATCTGTGCCACTTTTTGATTCAGCCCATAAACATTCGACAAGGGCATTGTGGCTACGGTGATCTTCGAAGTCGAGTCTGGCGCCAAGATCAACAAATAAACAGCCCGAATATCGTTATCAGTCAATTCCTATTCGACTAATGATTTCAATGTGCCCATTGTTGGTGGATGTAGCGACCGCAAAAAAGAGAGGACTTTTGCCATTATTGTCCGTAACCTCAACATTCGCGCCTGAGTCGAGTAGGAACGGAAGAACTTGCGTCTCCTCTAGGAAACCGCTGAAAATAGCGGAATAAAGCCCCTATGGTCTGTAGCCTCAAGATCTGCGCCTCTTTCAAATAGCAACCTTACTAGCTTAACAAACCCCCGACGAGCGGCAAGATGTAGGGGAGTAAACTGGGTTGAAATGAAGTTCCAGATTTAAAAAGGTTTCCCATAACGCCGAAGTGGTTGGCAGGTGTTGGAGGATTTGTGGTTTTCGTGTACCACAATGAGTCCGATACGCTTCGTAGGCCTTTGTTATAAACCTGAAGGTTGAGTCGTCGTTGGAGTCCACTGGGGATAAGATTGATCTACTTAGGCTGCTTAGGCACGATGAAGGCCTCCCGCCATGTGCGAGGTGGTGCGGGCTCGGCAGCCGGCCCGTTAGGCTCAATCCGTACCCAAACTCGTGAAGGACAGGGGGATCGGCCTTGTCGAAGTGGCGGTAATCGATGAAGACCCCTTCGGAGTAGTCTAGCTGAGGAGCTTCGTTCCCGTTGTTCGGCTTGTCAACCTTGACAAATGCGACATCCCGGTGTCTATCGCCATCTGTGATGTACTTCGATGTTGTCACCACCTTGGAGGCAGCGCGGTACTGTACGGACGGATCACCAGCCGAATCTTTGTCGCGGCATCCGATGTAAGTTTTCATGTGCGTGACACCACCGAGACCTTCGTGATAAACACAGTGCCCGGCAGTGACGGAGGTATTATCGGTGCCGTAGCTTTCGCGTGTGGCGCCCCATGTGAAGTGGAAGGGAGTGCGGCCAGATGGGTTGATTCTGCGAGGTGATTCCCTCTTGTGGGTAGCCCTAGGCCTTGAGGAATTTCTCAGGGCGGAGTACCAAAGAATCTGGGTACCTTACCTTACGCGGCCTTATTTTTCTTGTGGTAGTCGAACCTTCTATACCATTATGGATGGTCAAGAGGTTCCTCCAAGTCTGAACCGCTGACACCAACACCCACGGAGCGAGTCATAACGCCTGTCAGGGATGGCGGAATGCTACAAGAAGACGTGCTGGTGCAGAAGGTGTAGCGGGAGCGTTGGGAGGTTTATCAGCTGGACCGAGTTTTGTTCTGATGAAGTTCAACCACCACCATATCCTCCAAAACAGGCACTCGTGAATGAATAATAAGCTGAGGAACCAAAATTTCCCAAGTACTTTTCGCAACTCTTTCGAGTTAGTTGTGGGATTTGGCCATTGCTGTTTAACGATTCGTAGAGGTAGCGGGGTTTCGGGGTAGGGTGGGAGCGGATCGTATAGAAAGCGGATAACGTATAAGTCTTCGCCGGGGACGTTGAAGAGCGCATCAGTTATGTGAGTGATGGCCGGGAGGGCGGACAAGGCGATTGTCTCGGGCTCAGGAACTTCCGAAGTTGAGTATTGTGCTAGGATCGTGGTGTTGTGCGCAACACAAGAGCTGCGGAGATGAGTGTTAGTAATTGGCTAGGGATTGTTGTTGGCCCTGCTGCTGTTGCTTGTGTTGTAGCTGCTGACCCTGCTGCTGTTGCTTGTGTTGTAGCTGCTGACCCTGCTGCTGCTGTTGGCCCTGGGATTCCCTGGCTGAGTTCAATGACTGCGGGACTCCCGTTCTGCGAAAGCCCACCCAACAGCGTCGTAAAATCATTTCCATACGGTCCGCCGATGACAGAAGCATGATTGTTGCAAGGACCGCCGCTGAAAACGGGGGTTCTCCGTTAAGCAATTGTAGCTGCATAGCCCGGTCCAAGAAGATGGTTGGTTGGCCAATTGCAATGGGTAGCCAGGAACGGCAATGATTTGCCGGTTCAGGGTGGCGGTTGAGAACCGCGAGCATTTAATGACCTCAAGGCCATTGAACTCGGCAACGAACTTCTCTTGCGATTTCCGAATGTGTCATCATCATGCCCGGAAGTTGATGGTCCAGTTGGTTTTGGTCTCGTCGCCTCCGCGTAAGAGGGCGGTCCACAAACAGTGCATCGTCCACAGCAACGTCGACAAGGCCGATTCCAGCCCGAGAACGACCGAGCGAGCCAGGGCCCGGTTTTCCGGCACGGGGGAGAGCACAAGAAGCCAACAACAGATGATGGCCAAGATGGTAGCCCGCGACCAGGACCATATTGGCCCCGCCGGGCCAGAGGCGGGTGAGGCGCGCCTTGACGCTGTTGATAGCGCTGTTGATGGTGATGATGTTGTTAATGATATTATCCATCTTCGCTGAGGTGAATAATAAAAGGGTGAATCCGTTCGGATATTGCCTGCCCAGCTCGTGCCTCTGACTCGGATATACCCGTCCGCCATCAAGGGTATGCAAGATGATGGCGATGATCGAGATGTGGGTTGAGATGATAACAAAAGTTGATGATGGTGGTCAAGATGGGCTGATAAGATGATGATGATGATCTCTCCCGATGAAAGATGTCAAGATGCTTTCCCATGTCGTAGATCTTGGCCCAGATGTCGTCGATGCTCGTATCCATAATGTCTGCGACAGTAGCCAAAAGACGGATCGGATGATCTGATCAAATAATTTCGTTAGTACTTGTCATTAAGACTATATCACCAGCCCCAAAGCATGGCACATACCTTGGCTTTACCAGCTCCATCCGATGACGGTGTTGTAGACTCGGGGCATGGTGTTGGGTTTGCAGCCCCGGGGACTTGCATCGGGGCCAGCAGACAATATCCGAAGCCTTGCCTCATACCGGCAACGGGGTAATGCCGGTGATAGAGGAAGATTTGCCCTGCTGCTGCTGCTGCGGCTGCTGCTGCTGCACCCTCGCAGCCCTGTCGTCCTCCTTCCATTTCAGCTTCTTTTTCTCCCTTTTGTGGTTTTCCCAACCCAGCCAACCCATCCGACCGACCCCAACGGCGGCCACTGCTCCCAACGCTATGGCGATCTTGTCCGAGTTTTTTAGCCCCGGGGTGGCGGCCGAGGTGGTGGTGGTGTGGTGGATGGTGAGGGCGGTGGGAGGAGGAGAAAGCGTGATAAGCGTGACAAAGAGTAGGTTGGGGATGAGAGAGTAAGGAGGGATGCCGAGGAAGATGGGGCCCGGGATGGTGGCAAGAGCATAAGGAGGAGGGCGGGAGACGGCGGTTGTCGGCGGGGTGGTCGTAGAGGTGGTCATGGTGGGGACGGCGGTCCCCAAGTTTATCGACGAGCCATGTTCCTTGGATAAGGCGAAGATATGCACTTCTTATGGCTATTGTTGAGCAGGGAGTTGTTGTTTGGCAGGTCGATACGGGTGTACTCGTACTCGTGTAAGTTGGTCGATGATCCTTTGGATGTGCCCTTGCGGGCTTGCGGCTGACGCGAGCTTGCATGCTGGTTCGTGAGGCCAGCGGCTGCGACCATCTCCGGAGTGCCGGCATCGGGGGTTTCGTCCCTTCTGCGAAGTGCACCTTCTTGCGCAGAGGTTCTTCCGGACACGCCCGCAAAGATGACAATGTAGTGTAATAGTTGGTGCCATTCTGACGGTGAAAATGCAGTGGTTTGTGACACCCTTGGCCAGGAAATCCAACACAATCACGGCCGCACCGGCCGCACCTAAGCTCTTGTCGATTGCTGATTTCGGTCTCGGTTCGGGCGCTTCTCTTTGGGAGTCGTCATTGGGAGTCGGCTTGGGGTCTGGGCCGGTCCACGTCCTCAAATAGTAGGAGGAGGAGCTCGTCTTGTTCGAGGGGTTGTCTGGGCTCGTCAAGCTGGTGACCAAAGCCATGGTGGGCAAAGTTGCCTGGGTATGGGATCGCTGATATGGGTTTTGCTTGTTGGGTCGCTCAGGGGAACCGTGCGTCGCGGGGATCCGGAACCGGGCAAGCACAATTTCGCACCCGCGCAAAGGGGAAAAGGTTGTCTGTGAACCGGTTAGCTCATGCGTCCCAGAGATAGACTCCCTTCATGTTGTGCTGGGAAGTCATGCCGGGCAGGAGGGCAGAGGAAGGTGTATGATGACGACTTACCAGATCTGCAAGAATACCTAGGTAGAAGAAAGACGTATTTCGGACATAGGCGCGTTCTCGAGAAACATATGTTTCAGTTGCTCGAACCATGGAACCTCCTCCCAACCAAGAAATAGCCTCTTGTTGTGGGTTGGCGTGATCCTGTTTGAGTCTCAGTACCATCTTCTTTAGGCGGGGTCCGACCGTGGGTGTCAGTCAACACGCCATCCACAAGCTGGGAAACGAGAGTGCCTTCGCCAGTGCGACGGGATGCGCGAACGGGTCCCGGGACGTCCTCGGGAAATGGAACATCATTGATTGACCGGATTGACCTCCAGAATCCCCAATGAGGCGCGGAATCAAGAGGTGGCCATCCACAAGATTCACTTGATGAACTTCTTCCCTTTCCGGCTCTTCGAACACAACTTCTAGCGTCTTTAACTTCTTCAGCCTCATTAACCGCTTCCACTTGTAATCTTACGTGTTTCTGGTCCTCGAATGTGAAGGGCGCGACCTGTTGCTAGCAGATTTGTGCTTTGGCTGAGAGCTTTGACCTTGCGGGCTTGCCCCTCATCATCGGCGACCATCTCCGGAGTGTTCGGCATGTTAATCTTCGAAAAGAGGCAAGCGACGAATAAGACAGTGGTCTCGCCGAGCCCGTGTGGTGAGACTCAAGCTCTTGATGATCGCGTCTGACAACCAGTCGATCTCGTCATCTGATGGGTAGAAGTCCGAGAGAACCGACATGACATGGTTTCGAAACATGGACCTTCGGAGTCAGGAGGGCTCTAGGCTCCGTCATCCTCAGAATCCCAGTTCGATGGCGACAAACAGCAATCGGACAAGAAATGAGGCAAGTGTTCGAAACCGGGTCCTTCGGAGTCAGGAGGACTGTAGGGTACGGTGCGAGGTGTTGATGCATCCAGCAGCTTTTCCACGAAGTCGCGCTTGGTATGGGAGTGCTTCGGAGAGGAAAGGATATAGGAAGAACAGTCGTCAGATTCAGACTCAGGTCCGGAATGAGGGTCGACCTCATCGGACTGGTTGGGGACTGTTGTGATGGGGGTATTGAGTCGATGTCAAGATTGAAAAGATGTTGAGTCAACTCGTCGAGATCAGAGTCGTCGTAGCCGAAAGCAGCCGAGTAGTATGACGATGTCGGAGAGTCGGGACGTTCCAGATGAGAGAGGCTTGGACTGGATTGACGGAAGGAAAAGAAGTCCACGTCTGTGGGGGGTGGTGTCGTGGTGTCCAGCTTGACTTGATGCTGGGAGCAGAAGTTGATGCTGGTGAAAATGTTGGCGGCGGATCTGGAACATGGTCTCGGGGTCTTGTCCTCTCCTGTGAGGCTCATGCCAAAACTGGAAACGGAACTGACTGCGGGAAAAGTACACCTAGTAGGCATCCCTCCGGATTTCATTGCAGATGGAGCCCAATGTGTGGAGTGCCTTGAGCTGATCGTGATTCTCCTCCATCCCGTCAGCGGCTCGGAAGGGTCCTTGATCAGCTCGGTGGTGGGGAAGTGTGAGCACATGGTGAATTTGTGATGGCCCGATGACTGAAGGCTTGAGCACTGCAGCTGTTGGTTCTGCAGTTGTTGATGTTGCAGCTGTTGATGGCGCTTTTGTGGACGCTTTTGTGGACGCTTTTGTGGACGCTTTTGTGGACGCTGTTGATGGCGCTTTTGTGGACGCTGTTGATGACGCTGTTGATGACGCTGTTGATGGCGCTGTTGATGACGCTGCTGCCGGCCATTGGAGGTCATGAGGAATTGAGGATCAGAGGATTCCGGTGCAAAAATGAGGTTGGAGATGGGAAGTGATACGGTGCCGTTGGCGCTTCGTCGAGTGAGTTCATTTGGAAAAGCTGCTGACGAGGTGCAGGAGTGTTGCGTGGTCGGTTTGGATGCCAAACAAGATGGAAAAGCGGTGACGTTGTGACAGATCCCGTGAAGCGAAGATCAAACAAGGCATCGATGAATTGGAAGATGAAAGTGTTGTAGACTTGTGAGTTTTGAAGAGATGGAAGAGAAGACAAGATGGAAAAGCGGTGCTTGATGATCTGGATGAAGAGAATTGTTCATCTGGCCCGGGGGATCTGCTCTTCTTATAGGTGCCAGAGCTGGGTCCGGGACTTTCACATGCTCAGACGGTGACGGAACTCGAGGGCGGTGGCTGCAGAAGAATCGCTGAGGTGTCTGAAGTCGAAGGGAAGGAAGATGTGTATCGCTGGTAAGAGTCATGGAGGTGAGAGCACATTTCCGAGAAAAGATGGCATGTCTTTCTTTAATTGAGGAGTAGGACTTGCTTGAAGCTGTCATCGAGTCGTTTGATCGGCGAAGAGCGGGTGCTGGATGGAGAAGCAGCATGCCTCGATGAGTCGGTGGCCGATGAGTTCCTCCGATAGAGAGTGTGGCAGTCGTCGTTAGAGGAATGGGCAGTCATGCTGTTGTTCTTGTTCTTACGGTGAGCTACTCCCGGTGAGAGCGAGGACGATAAACCATTAGTACTTGCGGTGAAGAGAAGGAGCATACCTTTACAGACGAGACCTCGGTCAGATCAACATCAATCTGCGCAGAAGATCTCAACTTCCTTACTCGCACACTTCCATCTTTCTCGTTCTCTCCTTGCCTGCAAAAGTGTCAGCTTTACCTGCGTGCAAAATCACATCGTCCGTCACATGCCAACACCAGGTAGCGAGCCACCGGTCACGATTAACTTGATCATGTTCTTCTGCCGGACTGTATCCAACTTGCTTGCAAGGAAATATCCAACCATCGAAAACTCTTGCCTCATTCCCAACTGTAGCTTTCCAAGTCTACCTATTCTCCCACTCAGGTCGTCCCGCCTCCATCCTCCGTCCTAGCTGCCTGCCTATCATCTTCCCTCCCCCTTACTTCCCTCTCAATACCCCTCCCTCTTAGACACCTCATTAACCAACCGCTCCCCCCTCCCGAACCTCCCGAGATTCTCCTCCAGTATCGCCAGCACGCGCTCATTATACCTCGTACTAGCCCCACTAACATGCGGCGTGAGAATCACATTCCTCGTGCTCCAAAGCTTATGTCCATCCGGCAGTGGCTCGGGGTCCGTGACATCAAGCGCCGCTCCCCTAATCAACCCCGTTTCCAACGCCTCGATCAGGTCGTCTGTGTTAATCACCGGTCCGCGCGCAACGTTCGACACAAAGGTCCGCCCGCACGTTTCGCTGTGACCAGTCTCGTCGACGAAGTTGATGGAAGGGGAGGAGTTGTACAAGATCTGGAACTCCTCCTTCCCTAGCAAGTGTTTGGTGCCAGGGGTAAGTGGTGTCGACACAACCAGCAGGTCCAACCCGCTCCCCAAGAACGTGTGCAAATCCTCCTTGCTAGCACCACTGAACCACTTGCTAGGAAACTCCCCATCGGGATCACCCATCCCCGCGGGCGCCCAGCTTCTATCCTTCCTCGACTCGGGCGTGGGCCGCGGGTGCAAAGTGTAAGCGTGGACTTTCATGCCCATGGCGACAGCGAGGCGAGCAGTCTGGCGGCCGATGGCGCCGTAGCCCAAAATGCCGACGGTTTTGGCGGTGGCGTCTTCGATGGAGTCGACGTTGCCGCGGGACCAGTGGGCCTGGCGTTGGAGGTCGAGGTAGTGGGGGAGTCGGTGGTTGAAGGCGAGGTAGGTGAGGAGGATCCATTCGGAGATTTGGGGGCTGAACTCGGTATTTCTGGTCAGTCACGGTTTGGGGAAGACGGAAGGGGCAAATGGCAGAAAAGGAGTGGAAGGAAAACAGGAGGAAGGAAAGGAAGAACAAGCCCATGAACCCCATTAGCAGAACAAAACTCCACCTCCGTATCCCTAAACAGCGGATGATCCAGAATATGGTTCGCTCCAGCACTGTTCAGCTGAACATAGTGCAGCTTCGGCGCATCCTTTGGTTGCGGGAGGTAGGTCAAGGTCAAGGCGATAGTGACATCTTTCCACTGTTTGATGGGAAACGGCGACTCGGCTTGGGTCCATTCGGACTTGTGGTATTCGATGATCAAGTCGGGAAACTGTTTCTGGAGAGTATCGATGTAGCCTGGTGTTGGGGCCGAGGGCGTGAGGATGACGAGTTTGTGGCCTTTGAGAGTTGGGTTCTGTTTACTTTCGTCCTCGAGGGAAGAGAATTTGAGGAGCGTCATTGTGACGGTGTTGCTGTGGTGTTGGTGTGGGTGTTAATGTCCGTGGTGCTTTTGGCAGTGTGATGTTGAATCGGAGACGGGATGGGATGTCTTCGTTTGAGACGGAAATGGAAAATGATTACCAATCTTCAAGACGGAAGACTCTCCGGCGACATCGGCGTCGGTTCCCCCATCCCGGTAGTGCGATGTGGGGTTAGTCTAGCGCTATCTCGCGTCATTCTACCGGGTTTTATGCGGTTCGTTAACCCCGGACCGGCAAAGTTTGGCGGATGCGGGAGACCCGTGGGGGTCTCGGCATTATCTCCGATGTCTCTCCAAGGATTGGGGGACGAGCCGAGGTTCATCTTTTTGTAAGTCGGTGGAAGTCATTGGGCTTAATCGGGTCAATGTCATCAAGTATCTCTTCCATCTTTTTCTTTTCTTTTACCATCAAAATCGACATTTGGTCTGTCTTTCCCATGGCTTCAACTTTGTGGTGCTTGGTCCGTCAATGTGGAAGTTCTTGGCTTCAACTACCTCGGTCAGGGTGCCGCTAAGGCTGTTGACCATTTGTCAAAGGGTCAACGAGCTTATGAGTTTAACTTTCTTTATTCTGCATTGTATCTACTAGTCCGTTCGAAAGAATATGACCGCTAGTTCAATTGACTCCAAGCCACCTCCAAACCGCCCATAGCCGCGAATTGTGCAATTGCCTTCTCTTCTCGTTCAAATCATCTTCATAATCCATAATCCATCATTACCCATGCCATTTATCGATCTGTCCGTACTGTGTCCCAGAACTGTCCTTCCACTCACTTCTCAACCTTACTTCTCGTTCGAAAATCCTGACTCTTTGGCTTGCAAGGACAAGCCTTTCTAAGCCTCAACCGCATCATCGACCGCACCGAAGCAGGTTTCCACTGGTGGAGAGGTATAATGTCAGCACCTGCCTGTTGAGTATTGGACGAAAAGAGGGTAGTAATAAAAGAGAAAACGTACTGATAATGCCAGTAATGAGATAAGGATCCGCGTTAGAAGCAGGACGACGATCCTCAAAGTAACCGTAGCCCTTAGCGGCGCACTCGCGAGGGATACGAATGGAGGCGCCACGGTTGGCCACGCCGTAGGTGAAGGTGTCGATGGCACCGGTCTCGTGACGGCCGGTGAGACGCTTCTCGTTGCCTTCGCCGTAGACTGTTTTGTTTCCCTTTTTGTCAGCCTCCCTCTCCAACCCTCCGCTTCGGGGTGTAAAGACCTACCAGCGATATGCTCCTTATGCCTCCCCTCCAACTTCTTGATCGCCGCCTCGATATGCTTCATACCACCCTCCTTCCTCATCTCGACCGTCGAGAAGTTACTGTGCAAACCGGCACCGTTCCAGTCGCCAGGGATGGGCTTAGGATCGAGGGACACCTTGACGGCGAACTCCTCAGCTACGCGGTCCAGCAAGAAACGGGCGAGCCAGAGCTGGTCGCCCATCTCGATGCCGGTGCAGGGACCGACTTGGAACTCCCATTGGGCAGGCATGACTTCGGCGTTGGTTCCCGAGATCTTGACGCCAGCGTACAGGCAGGCGCGGTAGTGCGCTTCGACAATGTCGCGCATGACGACCTTTCCGGCGCCGACGCCGCAGTAGTAAGGACCTTGCGGGGCGGGGTAGCCTGGATGGGTCATGGTTAGTTAGCAGGTGTAAATCTTTAGAGAAGGGATGCCTGGCCCTTGCGGAGGCAGAGGCGGAAGCAGAAAAGGAGGGGACACACCGTTCTGAGGCCAGCCGTAGGGACGATCGTTCAAATCGAGGAGGGTGTATTCTTGCTCGAGACCGAACCAAGGCTCGTGCTTGGCGTGAAGCTCCATGAGCTTGACGCACTCGTGGCGATGGTTGTACTTGTTGGGGGTGTCGTCGGCATCCCAGCATTCGGCGAGGACGAGAATGTCTGCATACAGTTAGCGATCAATTACAACAGAACGTACAAGATGGGTGGGCTGATGGCTTGGCTTACTGTGGGGAGGGCGGAAAGGATCCGGGTACACAGCAACGGGCTTCCTGCACGAGTGATCGTATACAGTCAGCATTGGCTTCTCAAGTCCCGCCGACAGGTCCATGATGACTTACAAGTAAACGTCCGAGTTGTCACCAGGAGCTTGGCCTGTTGAGCTGCCGTCAAAGTTCCAGATGGGGAGGTCCTCGGGCTTGTAGCCCTCTGGCTTTTCTTCGAGGGTCTGTTCATCGTGGAAAAGTTAGTTTCGATTTCCTTTCGGCCAATTCCTTCCAGAAGTGATTGCGCAAATCCCAATTGCTGGTGACGGGAGATGGGTGGTGGTCTGATCCCGAGCAGGGTGGCGATAAGATAAGACGTACGCGAGACTTGGAGCGGGTGTTGCCTGTAAGTTTGACAAACTGTCTGTCAGTGTGACATTCTTTTTTGGGAGAATGGAATTGTACATACCCTCAGCATCAATCCAGATGTACTCGGCCATGATCTTGCCGCGCTGGTCGAGATCGCGGAACTTGGCCAAGACGGCCGCATTGGAGGCGAAGGACTCCTTGGTAGCCTGTTGTGAATCCATCTGTTAACCTGTTTGTTCTGTTTGGTTTGAAGGTCAAGAATCCAGAAGAAGGGGGCAATCGCTTTGAAGTAGTGGTTTTGATGACGAACCATTGTGATGTGTGAGTTGTGTAAGTATTAGGTTTGTAATGTTTGGTAATGCTATGTATGATGTCGCAAGTCCAAATACGTCGCTAGCAGGTCGCAGCAGTCGCAAGTCGCAAGTCGCAAGTCGCAGTCGCAGTCGCAGTCGCAATACAAAAACAACCACGTCCCAAAGTTGAACGTGTTTAAAACTTGGTGAGGACAAAGAAGTAATGGAATGGAGAGAAGAGGTGAGAGAAAAGGACGCGCGCGTTGGCGACGGGAACGGTCAAAGATAAGGAAATCAGCCCAGTATGCGGTCTGGAAAGATCGAGCTGCCCGTGACACTTTCACCTTCTCATCCGATCCCATCCGAACATACCTATCACTGCGTCTGCCTCGGTCTAGACGTTTTTTATTAAGCGCGGTGTAGGGTGTATGAGGTAGGTATGAGGTGGGCGCGCCCAGGTTAGCGGGGTCCATTTTGGAGACAAGTGATACGAACCGCCAGCTACCAGCGATAAAAGGTACGATACCGATAAAAGGTACATCTATCAATAGCAGCGAGTCCATACTCCAGTCGGGTCACTTGTTTTTAACTGAGACCCTTGGATTCCCCCCTGACGTCGCCCACCTTGTGCCCGCATTGCCCGCATGGCGGCCATTGGTTGCCCCCGTTTACCCCCGAGGCAATGTTTGAGGGTGTTGGTTTCTTTGAACCCGGGCATCGTTTGATGGAGGGTGGCTTGGGTTTTGTCGAGTGGGATGATGAGTTTGGAACAAAAAGAAGGGCCGGTGATCGGTCCAATGCCTTTTCCATTTTTGCGGTTTGTGTTTCCGTTTCGTGATTGCAATGCCATCATCCGTGTCCGAGAATGTTAGAAACAGAGACACACAACATGAAAGTCTCGGATTATCCGCATGAGCTTCTCTTTCCATCTTTGGTTCAATCTCGGAATGAGGCAAGGAAAGAACTACCCTGTCGTCAATCTTCAGTGGAGTGCTTGCAGTGAGACCCGACGGGGGAAGGTGCAGTGACACGCTACTGCGCTGTTGACCTCTGATCTCCCGCCGTGGAGATTCACAAACTGGGGAACCACAATTGGGGATACACATGCTTATTCTGACTTCGTTCTGGTGTTTCCATCCTTCATCATCTCACCTCTTCCTTCTCTTCAGGTTCCATCCCCCTTCCCAGAATAGAGTCGAGTTTTCGTCTTGTCCGTCATTGTTCTCCCGCCTCTTTTCGAGATGAAAGAAACCCCATCCCCGCTATCGGCCACCACGCCGCCACCGCCTCAAAGCGACCGGTACCTTATGTACTTCCCCTTCTCCAATTCCTTGGCACCGCTACAGCCGTCTTCAGCCTATCGACATCCTTCCTATCTATCATTTCTCACCACCCCATTGGCCACTGGATGACTTTCTTATCCAATCTTATGACGGAATCAGAGTCGATGCCAGTGGCTGCCCCTCGACGCTCCTGCACCCCCTGCTATCAAGGAGATCGTTAGAATGCGGGGGTGCAGAAGTGCAGTGTGCCGAGACACGTGGGGCTCCGCCTTTGCTTATCGTTGGGCGGTGATTGGATGAACGGGTGTTCGTCGAAACCAAGCGGAAAGATGTTCCTGTTGGAAGCTGTCTGTCCCGAATCACCGGGCCATTCGATTCCCAGCCCAGGCAAGAGACGAGCACTCTTCTCGCTTCTCTTACAGACGTGCGGGAAGCTTCCTTTGCCTTTCTGCTGCAGGATGACTGATGAGGAGGAGCACGCGGGGTTTCCATGTTGTCTCTCCCGTGCCCAGCCATTTTCAGGGGATGACGAACTGGGCTGAACTCTCAAAATGGGGGTACACACCTTGAACAAAAATCTCTCAGCGGAGATGGGAACATGGTGATTCGCTCGCTTGAAACAGAGTTCTGAAAGGGGGGGACACCAGGTGTTACCATCGCCACTTGCTACACTTCTGTGACTTGTGCATCTGCTGGTGTCTTGCCTGTTTCAGTCGACCGAAGCGAGGCCCTTTCTCCCTGAATGGGACCCGCCGGAGGCAGACGAGTACGTTTGTGCAGGGCGGGCGGGTCAGGCCGTCTGAGAAGAACACGTTTGCTGCGCAAAGTGAATGGTAAGGCTGATGAATGATGATGATTCACAAAGGGAAGGGTATCAGATGCCCCGAGAAGCTGGTTGGGGCCGGACCGCAGTGGGGAGCTCTTATCGGAGAGAAGAAGCTCTTATCTTTCGCTGAAGCTCATGTGTTAGGTTCCCTCGCTTCAGCTTACGACGCCGGGGCTTGCTCAGTCTCATGACGTTGCTACAAGTAGATATCGCTGTTGTCACTGCCGCAGAGCCTGATGGGTGATGACATGGAACTTTTACACAAGATACCTGTGATACCCAGCCATACACAGTAGTTGCCTGGGTCGGCCATCGTAAACACAACATCACCAATGCCGACCCAAGCCGCGGTGACTCCGGTGAGTGAGGACCTTGACGGCAAGTGGAAGGCTAAGAACGAAGGTGGAGTATCAGTCCAGGAGCTCTTATCGCGAAGGAAGCTCTTATCGCAAGCCATGTCTCTCGGGCTTCTCAGCTGGCAGCCTGGCCCGGTCCAAAACACCAAGACACGTCCTCACGAGACTTGCAGACATCATCAGTGATCACATCCACCAACCCATCTAATGGAAAAACAGCATTTCAATCCTCTATCTTTCGCGAAAGGCGACTAGCTCAACCACAAGCAGGCTCATCATCCCCACCCCCCATCGCATCCGTCTTCACATCCTGACTCCGTCCACCACCATAAATGCCCCCATCCAAAATGACCGCCTCATTATCATCCCGATCATCCTGCACCCTCCTCCACCTCGTACTCTTATCCCTCCTGCCTTCCAACTCCGCCCCCTTTTCCTTTGCTGGTTCATAAACCGGCTTAATCATGCCTCCCAACAACGGATTCTTGCTAAACGCACCACCACCACTCGTCCTCGACGTCGTTGGAGCAACATGATACTCCCCCGGCCCATCATTCTCCTCCGGCTCAGAATCAGGCGTAACAGGCCTCTCAACCTTGGTCACCTTCCTCAACACCTTCTTGCCCACCAGATCAATACTAACCACCTGCTGGCGTTTCTCATACTCCGGGCGCGCATTCCACTCCATCTCCCTCATCAGCTTCTGCTGCTTCTTGAGGGCTAGCGCCCTCTCTTCGGGGGAAGCCCACATGCTTCCTCCCATCGCACTAACATCAAAGTCCGCCGCTTCGTCCCTCACCGTCGTTCTTTGCGCGTTTTCTGCTTGGAAATTAAGCAGTTTGTCGCGCTGCTCGATAGCTTTTTGCTTCGCTGATTGCGCAGCCTGCGCTTGTTGTTGTTTCGCCGCCGCCTCCTGCAGTGTAGGCGCATCCTCGTACTCATCACCATACCCCCTCGGTCGAGCAAACGGCTTGGGAACACCACCCACGTCAGCCTTCTTGTTAGCTGCGCGGTCGGCAGCCATCTTCTCGCGGCCGCGCTCGGCTTTGAGTTCTTTGATCATTTGCTGGACTTCGGCTTGCGATAAGAGAGGGTGGCCGCAAAGGGTGCAGGGGCCGAGACCTTCTTTGACGCAAATCACTTTGCCGCAGTTTAGACAGTTCGGAGCGGCGGCGAGCAGAGGGTGCCGTGCGGCGACGCAGTTGCACCGACGCGAGGCGATGCCCGAGGCGGAGTTGGAGGTGTGCGTTGGGTTGGTGGTTATTTCGAGTTGGCGGATGGCGTCGTCGAGGTCGGAGAGGGCGGTGGAGGCGCCGTGCATGGGAGTGCCGCCGGCTATTGAGATCTTGGTGGCAGCATTCTTGCCATTGCTCGGGCCGGGTGTTGAGGTTCGAGAAGCGGGGTTTGACTTGGGCTTCGGCTTGCCCAGGTCGGAGACTAATGTGCCGTGGGCGGATGGTGGTGGTTTTGGTGTCGGCTGAGCGGGTTGTGTGGTAGGTTTTGACGGTGGCGGTTTGCTCGGCCCTCCGACTTGCTCGTTTGATGGTGTTGTCGGCTTGGACTTGGCCGAGATGTATTCGAGATCCGCATCCTTCTTGTTGTAAGCCTTCGTCCCCGGCGCAAGGGCAAAGTTTGTGACTTGGCGAGAAGGTTGTGCTTGTAGTGGCGCCTGCTTCTTCTTTGGTTTGCGCTGTGATTTCGGGACTCGATCGATGTCTGAATTTGGAGCCGAGTTCTGTGCTGAGCTGGGTGCTGATGGTGTTCGGGCGGCAGGAGACGGGGCGGGCGGCGCTTTTGGGTCGGCGCGACGGGCGTTAAAGGTCGAGATGAAGTCGATTACGGCAGGAGAGTCGCCGAGTAGGTTTGTAAAGTGGTCAATCGCTTCGGTCTTGGAGAGCGTCGAGGCGTAGTCTAGCACCTGCTTGAGGTCTTCGTCCGGCAGAGGGAGAAGCCGGGATAGCTGTTGTTGCGACATCGATTCTGGTCGGTCTGTTTGTGGTTGATAGGTCGCAGAACAAAAGTATCAAGGTAGCTATGGTTGAATTCAGTTCGATTGTGGAAAATTATGAGAGCCGCCGCTTCAAAAGTTGGTCGTGTTTTGCAGTTGTATGATGTCCAACGGAAAGTAAACATTGAAAGTGGTGAATCTTCGCCGGCGGCGAGCCAAGTTGGGAAAGCGGGGATAACGTAATCGCTGGCTTGGTGGGGCTTACGGCATCTCCAACTGGAAGCGCCACAGGTACGTCTTTTGTGGCTGACAGTTGGAGAAGGTGAGGCTTGACAGTGCCGCTTTCAGACACGGCCCCACCCGGCCCCGTTGCAGGTGCTCCCCCGCAAAAGATCTCCGTTTGTTAGGGCACTGGGCTATGCGTGCACCTGCCTGTGTGGCACACAGGCCAAGCCAGGCTAGGCTTGGCACAAGCCAGACCCTAGGAAGGAGGTACCTAGTAGATTAGGCACTGGGGAGGATACTTGTAGTTCCTTTCGAATCGGCTAGGTTCCTGGCCGGACTTTGACTAGATTAACAATCTATACACATATGCACTATATACCCACATTACCCTAATAAGTAGTATGCTACTGCGAAATCAAATGTATAAACTATTGAGAAATCGAAGGTATTGATTAGGATTAATTAAATTTTTATTTTATTCCCATCGTTTTACCAGAGACTATTTTAATTAGTTTATTATTGGCGACGATAGTACTAGTTAAACTCTATTATTAATATTAGGATTGGGACTATTACCTTTATTAAAGCCCAATTTCCCCGCCTATTAGTGTATTAAAAGTACTTAGAACTAGTTTTAGCTGTGTTTTGTATTAGATTTCCGCGGATTTAATACCGATTTTACTTGGATTTCAGACCCCGAAATTAATTTACCCTACTAAAGATCTTTCCTTATATTTCTTTTAAATAACCGATAGATTTTTGAGAGTTAGATAATTATTTTATTTTTATATTAAAGGCTACGTTTATGCTGCCCGGATTATAAATGAAGATATTAATTTTATTCGTTTTCTCGAATTAATTTTCGAGTTAGAAGATTAATTCCTTATTGGAGAAGAGAAATATTTATTAATGTAAGTTAGTAATAAAATTTCTTTAACCGGATTTTTAATTTATTGGAAACGTTGGAAGAAAGATGGGGTTTCTTAAAAGAATTAATTAAAAGTACATTAATAATTTAAATTATAAGGCGCTTTAAGATATTAACCTACTGAAAAATAGTTCAAGCTTCTTATTAATTTATTTTTAAGATTTTATCGTTTAGAACTCCACGATAGTTAAGTTGGATTCCGAGGATATAAATATATATTTTCCTAACTTCGATTACTTTTAACCGATTTATTTTAAATATTTAAATTTAGAATTAATTTGGTTAAAACTCTAAACCTTTAAAAGTTCCTCTATTCCCTATTTGTTAGTAAGAGAACCCCGTAAAACTTCCTCTATAGATTCGAACGTTATTAATAGTAAGTTAAGGAATAATTCGAGATTTAGGAATTAAATTAACAGTATAAAGAATAGTAAGAAATTGTTATTAAATACGTTATATTTCTAATAATAGAGTTCTAGTAATAAAAAGTGGAACGTTAGGAGGTTTAACGATTCGAAATTGAATATTGTTAGGCCCGATTTAAAAAAGATTAACGTTTTTAAGTTGAATGTAATTGTTAAATCGGATTTGCGGAGCGTTATCGTTAAGGGGAATTTGAAAAAGCCTATCGTTAAATTGAGTTTAACGAAATTTAACGCCGTCGAATTAAAGTCGAAAAAATTCGTCGTTAATAAAGTTAAAACTTTGAAATTTAATATCGTCGTTAATTCGAATTTAAAGAAGTTTGTTAAATTCAATTTGAAGAAAATTAATACTGTCGAATTAAATTTAAAGAAGTTCGTTGTTAAATCGAATTTAACGAAATTTAACGTCGTTAAGAGATTAAATAGTAAGAATTTTAGAATTAAGAAATCGAATAAAATAAAGATAGAGATATTGGGATAATAGGAAACTTAATTTAAGTGGAAACTATCGCCTTTATATTAAAAATAATTATTAAAACGATTATAAGAATATTTACCCTTTTAATTAATTTTAGTATTAAAGTGTTAAATATTAATTATTTTAATTTATTCATAATTTCCGTTAATAAAATTTAATTTAATAGAAAGATGATTAAGTATATAAATATCTATACTTTTATAAATAGGTTAAAATACTAAGCCTATAATCTTGGAGACGATAGCGAAGTCTAAGTTCGTTATATTTAGACCTACTATCTTTTAGGCCCCGCTTTAACGTAGTATAGTTATATTCTTTCGGAAACCAACCGTTTATTATTGGAAATGGCTTCTATCGATACTATTTATGTGAAATTGAAAGATAGATTCAAACCTAATTATTTAATTGCCTTGATTAAAATTAAGAGGGTTAGGTTAATATTTTGGGATGTATATTAAGGTGAGGATATATTAGCCTTCGTTTAGATTATTATTCGTAGTATTAAAGGTTATAATTTCGATCTCCTTAGTTAATTAATCGCTATATTCGAAGCCTTTAACCCTGAAATTTAAATAGATTTAACGAAATTAAATTTATTGTCAACGGTCGATACGCTAATAACTTAATTTCGGGAAAGAGAGAATATTATTCGAAGATTAACCTTCTAAAGATATTATAATAGAATTCTAACTTCGGCCTTTCGGTCGTTAAATTAGAATTAAAGGTAAAGTGGTTATTAAAATAATAGGTCGAACTTATATAATTAGAATCGAGGTAGCGGAAACCAGAATCGAAGATACTAGAATTAGGGATATTAGAATTAAGGATATTAGGATTAGGAATACTAGAGCCGCTCGCCTAATTACCCGTAAAATTAATAATTTGGTAATCCGATATAAGGTTATTAAAATTAAGGCTATTAGAATTAAGGCCTTTAATTTGCGAATCGAAACTAGATTAGCCTTATTTTAGAGAATTATTGCCTACCTATACCCCCGACTACGCTTAGAGCTATAAAGTAATAATCCGTTTACTACGGTAATTATAATATTAATTCGTCTTATTAAATATTTTTCGGTATAGGACGTATAAGATTAGGAGTTTGTAAGTTATAAAGCTGTTAATAGTTACGAATATACTGGGCTTTACTTTAATATAGAATTATTAATTGATCCTTTATATTTCGAGCCCGCTTCGGATTATATATAGGACGATTAAACCTAAAATTAGGGGAACGACGAATCGTTCGTAAATTTTACGTCTATAATAGAAGTTGAACGTTATTACAATTATTTTAAAACTTTTAATAGTTATAATAAATTAATATAATACGTTTATATTATTTATCTTAAATGTTAATAGCTAAAATGACCCAGAAAGAATTTAAAGTAAATTCATTTACTTGGTAAAATAATCGACGGCTTTTATAATATAACGGTTTTAAATATTATAAACCAACTCTAATTAAAAAACTAGGAACTGATAATATCGTCCTAGCGGAAGCTTCTATATAGGTAAACCGACGACGAATAGGCGTCGATAGAACTAATCTTCTAGCCTAGGAAATAAAATAACCCCTTATTATTAAATCCGACATAAATAACCGATTATTGGTCGGTATAAATTTTAATTTCCATTCTTATTTATATATACAATTATATATTATACTAAATTTAGAAAAATTAGAAGAGGAATTAGATATTTATAGTAATATAAGATGCAGTTCTATTTTAATCGATTGAAAAGCTTTGGAAACATATTACCTAAACGTCCAAATCCGATATAGGGTTACCCTATTAACGGTTAAAAATATTAGAAACGGTAAATATACTATAATTGAGTATGTTATCTTATTTATATTCTTTAGGGGTTAGATTTCTAAGTTTCGTAATACTATAGTAAATTTTATTTGGGAAGCTATAGTTGTGAATAATTTTAAAGCGAATATTTTATTGCAAGTTGATTACTTAGTTCCGGAAAAGTCTAATATATATTTAACTAAAGGATTTACCTCGATCGAATCTTATTAAGGAATTAAAATTACAATTGGCGTAGAGGCCTATGGCCGTAGAATTTATATAAAAATTATATCTGTATATTATATTATAATTTAATTTCATATAATAATTTGGGTTATCGTTAATTATAGTACTATTAGTAGTCTTAACGGCGTTAACGAATAGAATTTTATTTTTATATTTAATTACTAACCTAAACTTATAATATTCGCCTAAATAACGACCTCGGACTACTAATATATTATTATTAGAAACGATACCTCCGAACTGATTAATATATATAGGGGAATAAGAATCGGGCATTTAATTTCCATAAAATAAAATTCATATATTTATAACGTTAAACCTAATATAGTCGAAAAAGCTATATAGATAGCTGTAAGGGAAGATTTCCTATAAATACCTATTTTCGAACCTTAAGGATTTAACTTAGTAATAAAATATTACTAAATTAGCGTTAGGATCTACGATCGATATCCGAAAGTAACTTTAAATATTAATAAAATCCTTAATGAAGTTCATAGCGTATTTCGAAATAAATGATTTATAGATTTACCCGAAGACGAATAAATAAAAATCGAATTTAAACCAAACTAGTACTCTAAAATCCCGAAATATTATAAAATCTTCTAAATAAAAGCTAATAATAAGGAAATTATATAAGAAACTTTAAAGAAAATACGAGAATTAGGAAAAATAATTAAAATAAAATATTAAATCCCTTTCTCCTTTCTAGTATTTATTATATAGTAATAAATACGGAATAGAAGAAAAAGTAAAATAATCATAGATATTAAAAATTTAAATAGGAATATCCTCCCTAACTCTTACCTAATAAAATTCCCAAAAGAAATTCTAATTACTATTAAGGATATAACCTTTATTACTATTCTTAATGTAGTAGCTTTCTACTATTAATAGAGAATTTATTCCTAAAGCCGCTAGGTTTTTATTATTACGACCCTAGAAAGCTAATATACTTATAATATTATTATTATTTAAACGTTTATATTCAACGCTAAATAGATTTACGACTTAACGGGACAATCGGAATTAACTATTATAATAATATTATTATCCCTTCTAAAATATTAAAGGAATACGAATTATATTTAAAATAAATTTTAGAAAGATTTGGAGAGTAAAATATTTCTATCGGCACTTCCAAATCCTTTTACGTATTCCCTTCGGCCGTAATCCTCGGCCGTATAGTCGATTCGTTCGGTCTAATAACAGTAAAGGAAAAATTAAAAGCTATTATTAAATTTATATTCTTTAAAACGTTAAAGAATTTCGAAATATTTATTGGGCAAATAGGTTACTAGAAGTACTACGTACTTAATTATAATATTATTATTAATCCCCTCTAATGTAAAAAAACCGAATTCTTTAAAATTCATTGCTGAAAGAGTCCTGAACTGCATAATATATAGGCGACGTTGAATTCGGGGAGTAGAATTTAATTAAAATAAACTTTGTTGATATTAAATCTATTAAAATTATATTTATTAAAGTCGCCTCTTAAAAATAAATATAATCGAAAGGTTTCAGTTGTAGCCGTACTCTTTAATTTACTATCCTAAAAAGAAATAGCCACCTTTAAAGCTATTAAATAAAACTTATCAAACTTGGCTAGATTTTATTATTTTAATTTACATCGATTATTTTATTTCGACTATGATATTTGCGTACGCGGAATCGGTATTAAAATATACTATATTGAGGAATTTATATTTGAAAAAACCGAGATTCCGATAGTAAATAATAAAGTACCCGCCTAAAATAGTAGTTTAACCGATTACATTCCTCTCTCGTACCCTATCCTAAATAGAGAAATAATATTAGACTATAGAAATAGAAGTCTTGGGATTTATTTAGGCTATATTAAAAACGAGGTATTAGATTAATATAATTAAAGTTAGAATATATTATATTATAAATTATTTTACTATATTCAATATAATAACGTAGGTAAATATAACTAATTTAACGGCCGCTAGCGTATTAAATAGGAAATTAATTAGAGCTATAAAGTTTATTAGTCTATTTAATATATAGATTCTTCATAAACTAGGTATTTACTATATTGTTCCAAATATATTTTTACGTTTTAATTTAAATAATAATAAATTAGACCCTAGGAATCTAAGCAGCTTTAACGTATTGCTTAACGACGCTAACGAATATTAGGCGTTGAATATAAATACGAATTAGATATAAGTAAGCTAGATAGAATTACCCCTACTTAGAATTAAACTATTAGACCACTTTATCGAGGGCAAGGGATTTAATAAAATACAAATCTCGATAAGGGCCATAGTCGTCACTATCGAAATAGGTTTCTATTAATAATTAATTAATGGATACTTTGAGGACCTATAATAAAGGACAATATATAGGATAATTTAATAAAACGGAACCCTAAGTGACGAAAAAGCTGAACTTCTATTCTAAATTCATAACAGCCTCCTTTAGAAAGTTTAGAACGATTCCGATAGATTTGTAGTCCTTAATAATAGCCTTTACAACATCTTCGAAGCGTTTTATAATAGAAATTATTAGGGTTATAATAAATTTATACTAAACCTATTTAATTTCTATATAAATAGGGGATTTAAAAAGTTAAAAGAATTCTTAAAATCGTATTTAAAATGAAAAATTAATAATACCTAACAATATAAGCCGTATAGTAATTTATAGCCGTTACTAGGACCGCTATACCCCTATTTCTTTATTATAATGGACTTTATATTAAATTTACTAATGTTACTTAAAGAATTCGACGTTTACTTCGTTATCATTTGTAAATATATTAAAGAGATTATTATAATCCCGAGAAAATTAATATAAATTGTATAATAATAGGGAAAGGCGTTGATTTTAAAAATCCTGGAATTAAGGATTACTACGTTAAATTTTAATTAATAAGGACCCGAAATTTGTATTAGCGATATAGAAGGGAATTTGGTAATATTTGGGAATTAGATTCTTATATAATATAGTTTATAAACTATTAATAGCCGGATAGTTAGAACGTTTAATATAAACTATCGAATCTGTATTATACTACTATATTTTAGGGTTTATAAGAAGTCGGATTTTAGTCCAATATTATACTACGCTTAGAATTTAAATATAATAATTCCCGTACTTTATTAACATTGTAAATCTTAAATAAAATCGTTCGGGGGTTCTAGTTAATTAGAATCGTTGAAGTTATATTAAATAAATTACTAAATAAATTGTATTTATTAATATTTAGGATTAAGGCCTACAATACTTTATTTATTATTATAATAATAATAAAATATTATTTTAATAGAAAATATATTATTAAACTGTTTAATATAAGAGATTGCGTATATTTATAATTATATAAGGTATATTTAATCCTATAGGCGATAGTATTTGGTAGTAAATTGGGCTTATAATATATAGGATTATTTAAAGTATTAGAACGAATTGGACGGGGAATTTATAAGTTAAATTTTTTAGTTTATTAAAAAATCTACCCTATAATTAGTATTGATTATTTACAATTAACGGGAAAATTCGATTCCTATGGTAGATAATTACCGGTTTTAATACTAATTAAAGGTATCGATGCACCTATTAGAATTATAGCCTAAAAGATAGAGAAATTGGGAATCGTTAAGTACTTAGTAGAATACAATAGTATAAGAAGAGAGTTTGATTACTGGGTGGTAGTAAAGTAGGTTAAATTCAACGTTTTGGAAGAATAGTTACGAAAGATATAGAAATGAAAATAAATAAGACAGACTTGGAATATGTATATTAGCTAATAAAGTATTCGTGAAGACGTATTGCTTTGATGGGGGGTAGATTGTTAGGGCATTGAGCTATGTGTGTACTTGCTTGTATGATACATAGGCTAAGCTAGGCTAGGCTTAGTATAAGCTAGACCCTAGAAAGGAGGTACTTAGTAAATTAGGCACTAGGGAGGATACTTGTAGTTCTTCTCGAATCGGCTAGGTTCCTAGCCGGACTTAGACTCGATTAACAATCTATATATATATGTATTGTATACTTACATTACCCTAATACCGTTCTTCTCTCTATCCTTACAGCTTATTGGACGCTAAAAAATCTAGCTAGGGTGTTAGTGCTTTTCGTGGGCGGTCCCTATATAAAACCCCGCATATACTAATATTTTGCTACTGTATGGACCGTTTTTCCCATAAACTCTTTGCAAAAGAAATTGTTAGGCTTGACATTTATTGTGCAATTACTATTAAGGATTACTTTCAACCCGTTCGCATTCGCTCTAAGAAGGGCCGTAGCAGGTTTCCTACTGCCCCGAATATTATAGGTAGCTTCTATTTATACCTCTATTTGTACTTCTATTTGTACCTCTATTTATACCTCTATTTACACCTCTATTTACACCTCTATTTGCACCCTCATTTGGACTTTTTTTTGAGGATAAAGGTTTCTATATTTACCTTCCAGTCTATCCTAGAATCCAGCTCTGCACGGACCACAACCCTAGATCCAGCCTTACACCCTCAGGGAAGGAGCGAGGACAGCTTGCTGGCCTCCCCGAACACTATGGTGCTTAATCCCGGACCTTCAAGTTCTTTCCCCGCATCATCAACTTTTCCCAACTTCAACAGCTCTGCGCGATGATGAACCACAGCTTCCAAAGGGCTACGCGCCACAATCGAAAGCCCATTCTTCCCTGCGTGCATTAGGAAATCAGCATAAAGACGGCATTACTGGTTCCGGGACGGCAGCAGATATCCCGTTTGCTTTATCCTCCCATTTACCCACCAGAGAACCAAACATGGCCATCATCACCAAAACTCGGGGGGCGATCCTCCAGCAACCCGCGGTGCAATAACTGGAATGCGACCACAATAACCAATCTACGTCAAGGAAGATGTCTCGAGTAGAGCACAAAGCAGCAAGACACTATGGCAGCACTTCGCTACCGGCTGTCCATTGCCGATTGCCGGTGTGTTGGACGGAACGATCCCGGGCGAAGGAAACACGGAGTCGTCTCGAAGGTCCATGATGGAGGCGACGGTAGCATGGCCCACGGCATCAGTCTTACGATATAAGCCGTCCTCGCCATGTGCCTCTCCAGCATTTTGCCCATCCCAGGCCAAGGCGAGCTCTATTCTGCTCAAGCTCGAACAGCATGTCGCGAAGGACTCTCTTGTCGGCCTTGCTGGCCACCGCCGTGTCCGCTCAGCAACCAGGCAAACTGTCACCCGAAGTTCATCCCAAGCTTCCTTCTTGGGCGTGTACCGTCGCTGGTGGCTGTATCCAGAAAGACACCTCCCTCGTCCTGGACTCCGACTACAGATGGGTACACACAGACGACTACACCAACTGCAAGACCAACGGTCTCGACCCAGCCGTCTGTCCGGACGCCGAGACATGTGCTGCCAAATGTAACCTCGAGGGCGTCGACTACGCTGGATCTGGGATTCACACCAACGGCAGTGAACTCACCCTCAACCTCTTCGTCAACCGGACCGATGGGACTACTAGCCTTGTCTCTCCGCGAGTCTACCTCCTTGCCAACGAGACGACCTATGACATGTTCTCGCTGCTGGACAAGGAGTTTACCTTTGATGTGGACGTTAGCAAACTCCCGTGCGGTACCAATGGTGCTCTCTATTTCAGCGAGATGCTTGCCAACGGAGGCAAGAGCTCCTTGAACCCTGCTGGCGCCAGCTACGGTACCGGCTACTGTGATGCCCAGTGCCCTACTCCGGCATTCATCAACGGCGAGGTATGTCCCCTTTCTCTTAGTCTTGCCTCCGGTGACCCTCCGAAGGGAAACTCCCTCTGCTCATCTTTGCATACTGACCAACGCCCAGGCCAACCTGGAATCCTACGGCGCCTGCTGCAACGAAATGGACATCTGGGAAGCCAACTCCCGCGCCACCGCCTTCACCCCGCACCCCTGCAACGTCACCGCGCTCTACAAATGCTCCGGCGCTCTCTGCGGCCGTACCGACAAGTACCAATCCGTCTGCGACAAAGACGGCTGCGACTACAACCCCTACCGCCTCGGTGACCACCCCTACTACGGCCGCGGCGAGGGCAACAAGGTCGACACCACCCGGCCCTTCACCGTGGTTACTCAGTTCTTCAGCAACACCACGAGCGCGGGAGAGAAGGAACTGTCTGCTATCAAGAGGCTCTACCTCCAGGACGGCAAGCTGATCACCACCTCCACCATCGCCGTCCCTGGTTACGATGCAACGAGCGATACCATCACCGACGAGTTTTGCGCCAAGAATAAGCAGATCTTTGGGGGAGTAAACGCCTTTGCCAACCAGGGCGGGCTGCGACAGATGGGCGAGGCGCTTGATCGGGGTATGGTTTTGGTGTTCAGTGTCTGGCACGATGCCGGGAGTGCGATGAAGTGGTTAGATGGCACGTTCCCTCCCGGTGCGGACCCGGAGACACAGCCGGGGACGGGAAGGGGCCCGTGTCTGCCGGAGGAGGGTCATGCGGATGATATTCAGAAGGATGCGAGCTGGACGGAGGTCAAGTTTAGCAATGTGAAGAGTGGGGAGATTGGGTCGACTTTCAAGGCTTGAAGGAATGGAAAGGCTGAGGCAGGCAACTGGCAAAGGAACATGGATGGGTGCGTGCGCTGCCCGTTGCTGTTCTGATATCGTTCGAGAGGGCTGAAAAACTCCGCCGTAACGGGGCGTCTTCCCGCAGCCTCCATCTCTACTGACCGTGGAAACCATAAAGATATTCTGAGCAGCAGCAAGATCATGTCCACAAAATGTTGCTCATGGCCCTGATCAAAGTGAAGATCCGTACTTGCCATGTTCCGTCTTCCGGCATTCAGGTCGTTCCGGTTCATCCTCCTCACTGGAAGTCAGGATGGTGCAAGGGATGTTGGAGCCGATGGATTATGTCAGCGCCTGCCACCATGTGATGGACAACCGCCTGCTCCATACTTCCCGTCGGTTGGTCACATCCTCTTATTGATCCTGTTTCTCACGAAGCCGGGCTCTCCACCGATCCTCCTTCAACATCAATCCGATATAATCACGATCACCGCTCCTTTCGGCGCGTGTTATGGAAGTATATTCCTCACCGTCCCCCGAGAGCGCCGGTAAGTCAAACAGCCGATCATTTGTCATTCTTCTCTTTACAGAATCACACTCGGATATGATGCGATTCACGATTTTGGATTTTGACCAGCCAATTGCTGACTTCATGCTTTTACCAGATCAGCATTATTCATTACTCCGCAGGTACCGACATGCGAGATGCGATATCGATTCCACTACCTGATTTCCATCTGTCTGCTTGACCGACGCTCAACTCCCGCCGCTACCTATCCATGACAACCCCCAAGCCGTTCCCGTCCAGATCTTCAACTCCAACCTCTTCTTCATATCTCTTCTCAACCTGAAGGGAATGGATAACAGGACTGGATGCAATACTTGCTGGATAACTTGAGCCTTGTTGTTGTCCCAGGCCTGCCATATCATACACTATACACGCCAATGGCACCAACAGAAAGAGACAGGGGGGCGTGGAAACCGCCAATACGAACCGTGATTTCCACCTGGAGATGACTGGTGTGGACTGTGGGAGGCTCGGCAGAGATCCGATGGACAGAATATTGCGTACCTTGAAGATGAGGGACGGCGACAGGATGGATGTCGATGACTGGAAAAACACCAAAAGATGACAAAATAGGTGCCAGGAAGAGCTTCAGGGATCAACAGTTCTCCAGATCACCAAGTCCAGTCACAGATCAGCAACATGGATCAACACTCCAACAGAAAGGAACAACCATCGCCAGACATTCATCCAAACGCCCTGAAACAGAACCCATATTTCTGTCAACGACCCCGGATTTCCGATCGTCTCACCTCATCCTACCTCGGCTTGCAACTCTCGGTTGCCCCTGTCCGTGGCCCTAAACCTGTTTGAGCTCTGTTTCATCGATGGGTTAGAAAAGGGGCAAGACTTACTCGTCAGGTCTACAAAATCGACCGTGCGGGCGAGCTACTACTTGTAGTCAGGGACAGCGATTCGTATATGGACAGCGATTCGTACCGCGGGAGCGACTTTTACTGGCTACCAAAAACCCCTGGCGCCAAAGTTGCCCACGGTAAGCCGGTTAGCGGGCTTACCTGCATATGCATATGGTTTAGGTGCATTTTACCCCCCGAACTGAATGTCCGATGCATGTACACCATATATCGTCTCGGTACAAGAATCCGGTACAAGAATCCGGTACGAATCGCTGTCCCTGACTAGTGTCGGTGCGTCCCGTGTCCGTGATCTCTTTGCCACGGCGCGGGAGAACGCCCCATGTATCATCTTCATTGATGAAATCGATGCCATTGGTCGGTCCCGTTCCGACGGCGGCTTCAGGGGTGGAGGAAACGATGAGCGCGAGGCTACCCTTAGCCAGATTCTTACGGAGATGGATGGTTTCAACACGACTGAGCAGTAAGGTCGTTGGACCCTCTCAAGATTCAACACCGCAGGATTTAAATCGCCACCTTTTCCAGCTTTCCTGTCCAAAGATGAACGATTTAAACCTCCGCTTGGATGTAAAATGGGGCGGTTATGTTGGTTCGAGACTGAGATGAGGATCAAGGAGCGCGAAGAACTGACGCCAGCGTAAGGAATCTCAGCTTCTCTGCCACCTGTAGCTCACTACGCTGACATTTTATATTTATGCAGAGGTGTACAATGCCAACAACACCCACAAACTCGGTGCGGCTGCCAGGGGCTTCCAGGACTCGTGCAGACAGAGGAGACTCAACAGCTGGCCTAATGACACCTACCACGGCCACTACCTTCCACCTCTTCCCCTGCCTCCCTTGGGAGATCCGATCTCGGATATGGGAGCTAACCGTCGAGCCTCGCACGGTTGAAGTCCGCATCTCCTACGTGTGGCAGAAAATTAGCGCCAAAGCGGAGGCCAAATACCGTTATGGTAGGCTCGGGATCCTTGCTTTGCGCTCATCGACCCCCGTGCCTGCACCTTTACAGACTTGTCGAGAGGCCCGGAACCACCTCACCTCGGTAACCAAGAAAGGGCACCGATACTACCAGCAGGCCTTCAGCAAGTTGCCCGCTGCGAGGTGGTTCTTTGAAGAAATAAAGTGCGAAAAACCTGAAGACCGGTTGGAGCTGGGCCTTGAGGCGGAACCGCGCTACATCTGGGTCGATTTCGACGTGGACATGATCTCTATTGGGCGAAGTCCTTTCCAGTTCTTCGAATCCTATTACTCGGACATCAAGCGGTTGAAATTTGCGCGGGACAACAGTTGTCAGTACTTCAACGAGTATGAATCCCAAACCATTCGGGAATTCGTCAATGCTGAAGAGATTCACGTCGTCTGTCTGGGCCCCTACGGGACTAGGGTATGGGAAGGGGCGCATGAAGACCACTGTTTCCCCTGCGACAAAGACAAACTCTGGCTCATTGATCCGAAAGACGGTAGAACGGTGAAAGCGGCCGACAATGACGTTATCTCGAGGGAAACGAGATGGGCGGGACATAGGGCTAATGGGGCCTTCATCAACCCTGATACTATGGAGCCTTTTGTGCCATTTCTCCCGCCAGGCTGGTTTGAGGGACGGGAAGAATGGGACAATATATATATAATTGGGACGACTATTACGGGGATGCCTAGCTAGGTAGACGAATTGTTACTGAGTATAACCGGGTTCTTAACGAGGAGAGGATTTGGTGGTGAGGATCGTCGGTGGCTTCAAGGAGTACACTAGAGGTTGCCGAGTATAAGATGGGAGGTGATCCCGCTACCAAAGCTGCATTTTGGTGCATGCAACAGCGGGCGGCCCCTCAGATAGGATCAACCCCTGGATTTTTCCATGTCAGTGTACAATTAATTTGACCTGTCCTGGCCCGCCGTGCCTCTTTTCTTAACCAAGCTGCCGATCAAGCATTTTCCCAATGTTATCAAGTCAGCACATTTCTCCCTCCTACATCAATCCCATGCTCAGGCTGTGGAGTCCAAGCAGAGCCCCGAACCGATGTTACTGTTACCCACGCCGGCCTCACCGAGATTGACGATGGCTCCTCCGTTGCCTTGACCAACGGAAACACCGAAGAGCAGCCTGCTACTGGCGGCGTCCCCGCCCAGACCGACGCCGGCGACAGCACTGCCAACTTTGCTGCTGAGAGTGGCTGGGATGCCTCGGGCTCGGCCACTGTCTCTGCCACCCCGATCGGCTCTCAGGAATGGATTCGGTTCAGCTGACCTTGACGAGAACGGTTGACTGGCAGCATCATTTCGGGGACGGTAAGTTGATCGCATGGCCATTGTCATCCTTCAATAACGTGGTACCCTTATTCCGCTACCCCCATATCCATGATGCAATCCGCCATTTTGGACCCTGACTAGCCATTGCTGACTTCATGATTCTAGAGGTACCAGATCATCATCCATCATCACTCCGTGCCGTCCCGATCTTCTCGATGCTAGACCAACGCGTATTCCCCATATTCTCCTCTCCTTTTGACCGAGCGAGCCCAACTACCAACAATCATCCACGGAACCTTCCAGGCCAATAGATGTCTCCAGCAATCTCCTCGTATCCCTCCTATCCTACTTGTCTCCCTTCGGCCTCCTGAACAATGACCGGCACACATCGTCCTTCATTCATTCCATGTCTGCTATGGACATGCCTGTGTCGGCCGTGCTCCTCTCAAGTCTCAACATCCCTCTTCCCCCTTTCGCTTAGCCCAAAGTAACCTCCTCCCCGCTCGAATTCCCCCCCGACGTAAAAGTAGGCATAGCAGGCGGCTCTCCTCCCACCGGCGGCATCGTCACGACAACCCCACCCAACGGACCCCCCGCCCCCGACGCCGTCGGAACAGCCCCAGCCCCCTCGCACACCTCAGTCCAGGTCGTGCTCGGCGTCGCCACGAGCACAGTAGCACTAATTTGCTGATTCGGACATCCCACCGCCCAGTCTTTGGTCACACTCACATACCTGCACCCGTTGCAGTTGATGGGCTTGAACAGCGTGGTGGTGGACGGAAAGGAAGTCAGGGTGCCGTCCCATTCGGGTGGGGGGCAGGGACGGTTGTGGCTTGCGGTGCTGGTCAAGGTGGTTGTGCAGGGGCGGAGGGACATGGAGGAGGAGATGATGGGGAATAGGTTGCCTGCACATGGGAGGGTGTCGCTTTCGCTGGGTTCCAAGGAGGTTTCGGTCTCGGCCGGGAGCTCCCCGAAGTCGGTGGATTCGTAGGAGGACTCGGTGACTGTCCATTCGGGGATGTCGGGTGGGGTTAGCACGATGCCTGGTGGTCCGGTGGGAGCGGCGGAGGAGGTGGTTGTTGTCTCGTCGGAGACGGCTTGGCGAGGGACGTTGATGGCTGAGGAGAGTGCGGGAGAGAAGATGGTTGAGAGGAAGAGGAGGTGACGGAGGGTCGTCATGGTGTTGAGTTTGGGTAGGGTGGTTAACATAGTGAGAGTGAGTGTGAGTGTCCAGGTCATGTTGTTTTGTCTGCTTTGTGTTCTTGACTGGATCGTGGACTGACGGAAGTACAGGATCGAATCGTTTGAAGGGAGCCGGATCGTTCAAGTACTCCTCCAACCCCCAACGTCTAATCCCAACTCAGCGGGACCTGCAGTTTGCATCCAATACAGTGACAAAAGGCGTCACTAGCACGAGCCTTAAGTTGTCAGAGGCCAGGGGATCCACTGGGCGTGCACGTGCCCAGCTGGACTGGGATATGCGGGATTTTTACCCAGATGCCAGAGCTTTAAGTCTGCAGAGCCAGTCTTATATATATATATATAATCAAGCTACGTTGAACCTATATCGATTATTACTAATAATATTACAATTAAGAGTCTTATTGATTCGACCGTTGAAGCCATCGCCAGCAACGATAACCGATTAAGCGATTATTAATAATATCTACGACTAAAATTAATAGTGTTGCCCTCAACGGCCCTAGGGATTAGCCGGCCTAGGAAGATGCCTTTATTTCTATAGCTTAAGACTTGGGTCTTTGGAAATATATTGACTTAAATAATTGCGTTCTTTGGCTAACCGAACTAATAAAACCCAATATTGCTAATTATTAAGGGGAGGTTCCCGCTAGAGAAATTAGGGAAGCTAAGAAGGATAAGGAGGTTACCCTATTTGTTACTGCTAAATTTTACGGCTTTTATTATAAGCGTAATTACTGTAATTATATAATTAAAAAGTTGGATTAGCGTACAAAAGTTAAGACCTTTTCTAACTTAAATACTAAAAAGATTATATTAAATCGTTAAATATTTAAAACCGTTGGAAATAACTATTGGGAAATCAATTTTATTAAACGTACTAATTTATACGAATAGTATAATAATTTTAGTAAATCTACCGCTTTTAACGATTATAAAGTGAAAAAATTCGTTTGGGTTAAATTTATTAATATTCTTAAGCTCTTTAATAAAATTAATTATAATTAATATAATTGGATTTTTTATTAGGAAGCGGTTATAGCCTTCTATATTATTAGAGGAATTATTAAAGTAAATAAATTAAATTTATAATTCTCAGAGTTTTATATAATTATAAGGTCGAATCTTTATACCGTTTAAGTAAATAATTACTAGCATTAATACAATAAGGAGATCGAAAGAAACTTTAATTTTAAAATTTCTTTCCGTATTATAATTAAAGATTTTCGTAAAATAATAATAGTAAATATTATTTAAGGAAAGGGTTGCGCCCCCTTATTTAAGGGTATTACGTTCGTAATTATATTAAATAATAAGCCCGTTAAGGAGGACGTTCTTAACGACGAATAAAATTTTAGCCCGGAGGTAGAGGGATAGGGAGAGGTTATAAGTAAAAACGGTAAATTTAGGAAGAATATTAATAAAAATAAGTATACTTCCTCTTTATCCTTATTAGCGAATAAACAATTGCATCGATCCTTATATATATTCTATAAGTAGCCAGGCTATAATTTAAATAAACATTATTATATTAAATTATAGTTAGCCTATAACGGTTAAATCGAAAATCCTATTATTAAAAAGCGCGCGTACATTAATTTAAAAAAGGATAAAATATTTAAAGAGGCCGTTAACCGTTTACGAACGTAATAGGATAACAACGATTAAAATAATTAATTCTATGGTCGTTAGGTAAATAAGAATAATATCTTAATACTTATAATGAAATGGAGCGCTATATATTTACTAAAAAATTCTATAATCTTCGATTTAAGTACGATAATATATATTTTTAATAAAATTAATTATTTTGAAGACTTTACCTTTTTAAATATTAATAATTATATATAAGCGGGAAATAAACGGATTCTTATAGAAGGGTATAGTATTATTATAATTATAGTTGAACATAATAATGGAAATAGAAAGTTCTAATTCCCTAACGTTATTCTAATACCGGGTATAACTTATAATTTCGTTTTCTTAAAATGATTCGAAAATAAATAAATTTACTAAAACTATAAGAATAATTACCTACGTTGTCGCTTTATAAATTCCTTTATTTATTATATCCTGTCTAAATATAAATAATTTGTTTTAAAGTATATTCTTCTATAGAATAACGCTAACGAATCTTCTTTTATTATACGGTATATATATTACCCGAAGACGTACTTCATAAATGATGCTAATAGAGAATAAGAGAGTAAACAACTGGTTGCTGCATAGAGTAATAGTGCGTAACGATTAGCGATAGTCTTATTAAAGGAAGCGAAGATAATAACTATCGAAAGCCTCAACTTAGAACCTTACATACAATTTTATAGAGCGTGAGCAAAATAAATAATAGGTTGTAAGGTAATTATTAATTAATCCGCTAATATTAATAAAACCTAATGGAGTAAGTATTTTTATATACCGTAATATATTTAAATAAGTATACTTATACCTAATTTAATATATATTATAATAGGGTAGAAATATCTTAGCACCGCTTGGAATATTTCCTAATATTTCCTCTTCTAAAGAAGGTGAAAAGTACTTACTATTTATTAATAAAAACGCTAGATATAAATAAATTATAAAGACTATCATTATCCTTCTTAATATTATTTATTATTTTAATATCTATCTTAGTAAATTTACTTATTATAAATATTAAGTCTAATATCTAACCGTATTTATATCCTTCGTAGAAGAATACTATATATTTATTAGAATTATTATTATAATACTTAATCTTCGTGATTAAAACCTTTAAGAATACTATATAATAATTATACTATCCGTCGTTAATAAGTATCGTATTTCTCTTCGAATTCGCGGCGGTTCTTATTAAAGTGTAAGAAAATATTACCCTTACAATAAGAACGTTTACAACTAGTAGAAGGGGAATCTTCTTCAGTCTGCTAAGTTTCTAATATTCGGTAATAAAGCGAACGGATTCTAAATAAAGTACTAAAGCGGGAAGTAGATTGAATAAATATTATATTAAACTGAACGATATATAGTAATATACTGGAGCAAGTAGAGTAGGTTAATGTAAAAGTCGGTAATACGCTTAATTAAAGGCTATAGGGAGTGGAAGTTTAATACTAAACATATTAAATTCGTATTTCCTTTATCTTCTTATTTATTTTAACTGTTTTATTACGTAACTCCTCTATTACAATTAATTAATAATAATTAAAATTAACTAAACTATCCTATAGAGAAGATAAGGTTTATTTAAATTTAATAAGAATATTGATATAATTAATAGATCTAACGGGAATATTGACAATAGTGTTAATAATACGTGTATTTTTAGTTATATTAATTTGCGCGTAATATAGGTATCCTAAGCGCGCTAGGAGACTACTAATTTGTTCGTTAAAACTACCCTTGTAATTATAATATTAGAGGGCGAGTAATTGAACGCAAGAAGGGATATAATTAACGAACATAGGGTTATTATTATTGTATAATTTAGTAGCTTTCTCTAAGGCTATCTTTATATTACAGTATAATCTAAGAGAAAGCCCATAAGTTAGTCAACCTACTTTCGTATTTCTTAATTTTATTATAGTAATTTTAAATAATAGTATTAACTTTATTACGCAAATTCTAGAAATTTATATTTATTATGAGGTCGAATATTTTATAGTCTTAATTAAATATAAGAGTTATTATATTTCTAGTCGGGTAGACTTTATTAACCGAGCTTTCTTTGGTAATCTTTCCTATACGGGCGCGAATTTTAGTAGCGCTAGTAAGGGGCTTGCGTGGATTCTTGTGAATTGGAGAAGGTTTAACGTTTATAATATTAGTTAAAATTATAGGAGTATAGAGAGTATTACGCTTAGGCTTAGTAAGGTAGCCGAATTAACACTATTTTATATGTTATAGAATTCAAAATCGTTAAGGTTAATTATACGACCAATAGAATAACAAGGTTGTATAGGAAGACTAATATTATTATTAAAACGGTTACTAATAATACGAGTAGTTAATAGAACTTTATTATATTAAGATTATTAAAAGACTATACCCCTATAAGTCTAAGAAATTATATCAATTCGAATAAAAGTAGACAATATAGAGGAATTATATATTACGGTATAAGAATTATTATAATTATCGCTAAAATAGTCCTATTAAGTACCGAATTTATTGTAAGGAATAATGTTATTAAATTTTAAGGACGCGAAAATTGCCGTAGTATAGTAATTAAAGCTATTAATAGTATATAAGATCGTTTAGTCCAAATTAATTTAGACGCTAATATATTTAATGGTATTATAAAGAACGGAAGCGAAGCGATTATTATAGTACACAAATAAATATTAAATTGTTATAGGAGGTACTTAACGACGGGTAATTTTTTTGCCGATTTTAGTATTTTTAATTATAATGTTGTTAAAGGCTTAAGTTTTATCGCGCGAAGGAAGATAGGTATAAAAATTGAAATTGTTCGAAATGACGTTTATATTATTAATACAGTGAATTATATATTGAAAGCGAGTATAATTAAAGAAGGTTGTAAGGGCTTAATCGTTTATAATAATAATATTAATAGTAATGAAGGTTGGAACGACGATATAGAAATTATTATAATTTATATTATTTGGTTCGATTATTAATATAATTGAACGGAAGTCGTTATTTAACGTACTTATTTCGCTATCCCGATTGCTATTTTAAACAATCTATTTAGTAACTTTAATATAAGGGTAATTGAATTGTAAGGTAGTTATTTTAGCGTTGTATTCTATTATAAAAGTGAAATTGAGAGCGAAATAACGTAAGACGATTAGTTAATAGGTATAATAAATAATAAGTATAACCGTGAAACCGAATAATTGTAAAGATAAAACTATTTATAAGGGTTAAAGATAGAATAAATAAAAGATTTTAATAAGGGAGGAAGGTTTTAAGTAAATTGAAAGAATTATATACGTATTAAAAACCTTCGACCTTATTTAAATTTATATTCCATT